TTTTTTTTTTTGGGAAAGCATCAATTTTATTGCGAAAAATAACAATGGGACGAGACCGGGGACCTCACAATTCGACCCGGATAATTAGGGTTTGAAAAAGCACACTACAGTTTACGATAGAGGAAATACGCAATCAAGCGGAACCCATAGGTAACCGCGAACAAGCATGCCTTGAGAGCAAACGGGACGAGATTAACGGCGGCAAAAACACGTGTCGAGTTTGTCGACAATTTGACATACAGGAAGAGCCACAACAAGCACCAAAGTTTCAAAAAAAAAAAAAAAAAAAAAAAAAACAAGCACCAAAGTGTGCAATCACCAAACGGGATCATGTCCTCTCCGACAGACCCAACACAATAAAGGGACGAGGTATCGTGCCACATGGGTGTGCATACTGTCAAAACACTGTGTTTGACCACAGGTACTTGCATACGAGCAAAATCCTGAAGGACCAAATGTTTGGGAAAAGAAAAAAAGAAGAAGGGAAAAGTGCCTACCGAAAGTACGAGCCAGAATCTGAGTGCTCGAAAAAATAATCGGGTACCCATTCAAGCTGCATAGTAAATAAATGGGACCCCGTCTCATCGGTCTGGAACTACGAGTAGGCTGGCTGGCTATAGCCAACCTACCAGGGCCGGCCGAACAACGAACACCGCCGATAAAACAAGTGGTAAGCATTGTACTGAAAATTTGTGAAAATGTGAAAATAGTGCCAACGTGCCAAGGCTTATGCACGGTCACCTGCTTACGTCACCCACCCCACCTTCGAAGGTCAATGTTCCAACCGCCTGGAAAAAAAAAAAACTTCAAGTGGCGATATGGCCCTCTGGATAGCGAGCAATGACCAGCAAAAACCAGCCAAAATGGCCCTCTGGCATGTACTGGTGCCTCAAGAGTCCCGCACGAGACTGGATGATGGAATACAATGCATAAGAACTCGATCTCAACGGTGGAGGTTTTCAAGTTTCAACAACCGAAAGACATCCATCGTTGAGATGGAGATGTGTGGTCTAGGGGCGCAGTGCGATGCGGGCGTCCAATCCGTAAATTTCAGGTGGCGTTGCGAGCTCGATATAACCGCAATTCGGACGTTCTGAGGTCTCCATATGGATCATTAATGGGCTGTACTGGCTGTACTAGGGCAACCCCAGAATAAAGTCATAAGGGCACCCAACTTGTGCCCGGCCGGGCACGACCCCCGGACAGGGTTCCCTGCAGCCCCAATGCGCGCGCACAAAAAAAAAAAAAAAAAAAAAAAAAAAAAAAAAAAGAAGGTCAGACTCCCCGGGTGCCCAGCCGGGTGTGACAGTCTTCCTATAGCATGAGGGATCATTATGAATAGGGTGTCATGATTGCCATATGATCATGGATGCGTGTCCTTCGGGACATCCGTTAAAATTGGAACGATACAGAGAAGATTAGCATGGCCCCTTTCTGCGCAAGGATGGCGTGCATAAATCGAGAAATGGTCCAAATTATGTTAAAAAAAA